TTTTTTGTGTTAGAATGAATGTTTGGATTGGCACATTTATCATTTTTAAAGAATTAGATTTTTTTTAATGTCTAAAAAAAAGAAATCAAAAATTGATTTTTTTATTATTAGTTTTCAATAAGGGCAAAAAGATATTTTTTGGGTGCGGTGTTTAGTAAAATAGGGTGCGGTGTTTATTAACACTCAATCACAAATGGGAGTTGGCAGCTTGATGTTTGTTTATGCAAGCCGATTGTGTGGGGTGACGGTGACAGGTGACGGTGACCCCTTCTAAAGTCGTGCTAAGGAGATAAGGGTTTAAATCGTGCTAATGAAATATGAAGTGATGGATTTAAATTGGGTCAAGAACTATCTGGCTTGTTTGTCATAATGTCGCCAGCATGTTGTGGAGAAAACAATTTCTAAGCTTTAGTCATATTAAAAGCAAAAATGATTATGTTTTGTTAGGGAGAAAAATGAAATTTAGCCCTTACAAATGTACCTGTTACAGATTCGGTTTGTGTTTGTTTTTAATAGGTGGTTAGAGTAGTTAATAGAACTTGGGCGAATTAATTGTAAAATAAGGGAGAACTGAAATTAAGGGAATGAAGAGACAATTACATCAAATATAAGATGCCGGTTTTGTTTATCTATATATAAGATCTGCAAGGGAGTGGTTCTCCGAGAAATATTATTGAGAGTATATGTTGTAATTGTGTGTTTTTACATATATTGTCCGTATTCTTGAGGGCTCAAGTGACCGCATTTATACATGAATTTATACATGAAAAAAAAGGTAAGAATACAATAAATGCACGTGCCAGTTAGGGCGTAGGGCGGGAAAGGTGCATCCATGCAAGACACAGCTAGGGCGTAGGGTGGCAAAGGTGAGCGTGGATGAGGTGATTCACGTGCCGCATCGTTGCAATTTCGGCCGCGTAAACCTCGCCGACAAGGTTCTAAAAAAACCAGACGATCTGTCGATCCACTCTGGCCACCTGTCCCTACAAGTATAAGATCAAAAATTCAAAAAATGAAACAACATAATCGATTCTGAACATGAAGTGTACTAAAAAGTGAAAAGGATACTGAAAAATGCTGAATGAAACTTGAACCTTAAATTGTAATATTTTAATATATCATATTTTGATTTGACAATATATATATATATATACATATATATTTTGTGTGTGTGTGTGTATATACCTGTATAAGTAAAAAAATAAGTTTAGATAATTTATAAAAAATTATCAAGCTCTCAATTATACCTGACTCTAACACCTCTAGTGTGCTCCAAAAAATGTGTACTGTCAACAATAATCGACTCTCCAGAAATTTGTGCCGCCCGTAGCTCACATGAGCAATGAAGTCCATGAGTGGATCTCAGTGCACTGCCGCAGAGCGAGTCAACCTCGTCGCTCAATTATCGCATCTGTTGAAGCTTAGTATTCAATAAATTCAGCCAGTGATGCGAGACCTGCAGTGCCAAGTACGCGAATGGGGATCCCGTATGCATCACAACCTTCTTACGACTTGAAGACTCTATCGTGTACCTGATAATACATTACGTAACACTTGACCCAATGAAATTCATAATTAATGCCGTAATAAAACAGTAAATATGTGTAGCTTAAGAAATGTATTTGACTTGAGTCAGTTGAGACTCAATCTCCTTATCAACCTTCTCCCACATTGTATCGAACGAACCGGTCGACGTATTAAGTCACTGCTTCAACACAGCGTGGGCACTCTCCACCCTACATGAGGTTGTGTTACAAAAATGTGTTACCAAATCCGTTCACGCTTCAACAAACTTTTCCTTGTGGACTAACCATGTGTGCTCCACATATTGTAGCACTTTCTTATTCCTCGCATACCGACCATACAATATTTCACCTACGTCAATGTGGCATTGATCCACCGTACACGCTTTGACAACCTTCTTCCATCTGCCATACACAAACTTCAGAGCGATTTTCCTATTTTTTCCAAGGAGTCGATAGATTTTTTCTTTCACATCCTTGTTGATGTGCCACGTGCAAAGTAACTGGGCAGATTCTGGAAAAATCCTCCAAATAAGAATCATTATAGCCAACTCCCTGTCAGTGACAATGGTTGTAGGATGTACATCAGACCCTATCAGACATCTCAACATCTGTAGAACCCAGTGATAGCTGTACTCGCTCGTCCTTGATAATCGCATATGCAATTAAGAAGTTCTTGTCCCACTGCGTCACCACAACAATTTTCACAAATGGCATTTGGTACCTGTGCAAATGAGAGCAACAAAAGGAAACATATAATAAAAAAACTTACTCAAACATACTATACTAATTTGTTATTTATAAAGTAACTTACCTATTGGTTTTGTAAGTGGAATCTATATCGATGTCTCGGTAATATGTCCGGAATAAACTGACTGCTTGAGGATGTGTTGTACATTTTCTTGGCCTTTTTCAGTGGTGTCCTTCACGAGTGATGACGACTCTGAAAGTGTGGAGGACTTGACGACGATCAAAGGTGGAAGATGATGGTGATAATGATGTCCGCTGGAAGAAGGGTGTTGGTGGATTGTGGCCTTCGAGACGAACCCATAACCGCCCTTCCCGAGGATTTCTCCTTTAATCCAATGCATTGCTGCTACTTTTTTCTCTCAATCTCTTTTGCGTGATTCTTACTCTTTTTTCTTTTTTCTCTCGAGTTTGTTTTTAGGTCTTATTAGTAGGAAAAAGTGATAAATATACAGTTCCTATCCTAGTCGGTTTAAGATTCATTCGGATTTTAAATTAATATTAAACTGGCATTTAATTAGAATTTGGAGATAAGGCAGTGCCATTGGATTACAATCTCAAGTAAATATGTATACACACTACTAGTTTTGGAATGAAGCCAACAGCTGGCTCCATAGTAGAGCCAACCTTCTAATTAAATGCCAGTTTAATAATTAATTTGAAATTCGAATGAATCCCAAACCTACTAAGATAGAAACCATATATATATATCGCTTCTTCCAACGTATAAGACCTAAAAGCAAACTCCATAGAAAAAAGAAAAAGTAAGAATCTCGCAAAAAAGAGATTGAGAGAGAAAAGTTGCAGCTATGCACTGGATTATAAGAAAAACCCTCGAGAAGGGCAGTTTTGGGTTTGTCTCCAAGGCCACAACCCACCACCATCATTCAACCGGCGGCCATCATCATCATCTGCCGCCTTTGATCGCCGTCAAGTCTTCCACACGTTCAGACTTCGCATCACTCGTGAAGGAGAAACAACTACTCGACAAATTCCAGGGATGCCCTTCCATCCTCACCTGCCTTGGAGACGACATCACCACTGAAAACGGCCAAAAACTGTACAACATACTTCTCGAGTACACCTTCGATGGCTGCTTGGCCGACCGCATCATCCCCGCCAAAGGCCTCCCCGAGAAAGTTGTCGGCCGCTGTGCAAACTCCATATTGGCGGCCCTTTTTCACATCCACAGGCTAGGTTATGTTCACTGCGACGTCAAGCCACACAACGTGCTTCTCGTCGGCAATAACTACGAAAATGCCAAGCTCGTTGATTTCGGAAGCTACAAGAGTCGCAATAAGGAGTAGACTGATTTTGTGGGTACTGTCATTTACGCGGCCCCAGGGTCGATAGCTCGACAAGAGTACGTGCCCGCATCGGATGTGTGGGCCCTGGGCTGCTAGGTTCTTCACATGCCCACGGGAAATGGTTTTCGACAAAAGAGCAGAGGCAAAGGATGTGCTGTTCAAGATTGGGTGTAGTGATCAGATTCCGGTGATCCCACCTGGCAACAAGATTTCAAAGGAGGCTAGACTTTATAAGCAAGTTTTTGGTGAAGGATCCAACGACTAGATGGAAAGCCGAGATGCTTCTCAATCACCCATTTCTGGTCAAGAGTAGTAGTATTTCCGATGCACCCAAAAACTGCCACGTGCCATTGAAATTATCTCATGGGATTCACTCATTGGTACCACATTGTTTCCATGTCCCAAAAGTGCATGCCACATGTTGATGATCACTATCTCTGTGTATTCTTTGTAATATTTTTTAGATACAATGACAAAAATTAGAATTCATCTTTATGTTCATTCCAATTGTAAACTAGTACGAACCCCGTGCGATATACGGGTAAGAAATATTCTTTAATATTTATAAATTAAAAATTCTCATTAAATAATATTTATAAATTAAAAATATGGAATCGATATGTAATACAACTTACCTATATTAATAATGTTGAAAATGTTATATGAAATATAAATGGTGCAAAATTACATTAAATATGTGTATTTAAAATTGGTACATGACCCGTACGGTGCAAGTAACTAATAATAAATTACATTCTATTCATTTCGAAATAGTTGTCATTTTTTATTTAGAAATTCGATTTGACTACAATGTGATTTAAGTAAATACAAACCTTTATGTATGTATATATATAAAATGATTTGATATGTTACACGCACATTTACAAACTATAGTATTCTCCAGATTTTTCTCTCAGGAAAATGCTTAGCAATATCAAATTAAAAAAAAAAATGAGATACAATTTTTTACCATAAGCAAGTATATTGGATCAATATATAGTATACCAAATAATTCGATTTCATACTTTATCGATAAAATACAAAAAATGATATTCAGTTTTACCACAAAATTATTTGACCAGTGCACAAAACAAAATCGAGACCCACGTTTTTTATAGATGAAGATAAAAAAGACCCAAAAATTCAGTCCAATTTCGAACAGCCGCTTGAACAATCAGACTCTCAGGTTTCCAAATACCTTCAAACTTCCACAAGTTACGAGACTTCCATAGCCACCATAATATATAGGTTGTAAGCTGTATTCGGGCCTCTAAAATCTCTGAGTTATCCACTGTGCATATGAAGTCCCACCAATCTCTAATCTGCAATTCTCAGTAGGCAAACCATCCCAGCACACTGGGGCCTGCTTCCATACTGCTTTAGCTCTGCTACACCTAAAAAAGACATGCTCAATTGTTTCTGTTTCTTTTCCACAACTACTGCACACCACATCTACCCAGATACCCCTTTTCCTAACATTCACATTCACAGGAAGGATCCCGTTAAAGCATGTCCACACAAAGTGTACTTTGAACTCGCATTTTCCAACTTCTCAGTTTGATCTTCCTGGCTCTGTCAGCTGTGGAACTCCCTTCTGCTATGGCTAGACTTTGCAGCTTCTTGTTCATCAGGAATGAGTATGATGCAGCCACTGAAAACTTGCCATTAGGTCTCATCTTTCTTCTCCATTTGTCTTCCTCTGTAGGGTTCTGTGTGCCAATGGCCAAAATGGCTTAGCTGTCCTACTCACTGAAAATCTCTATCACCTTGTTGTCATTCTAATTTCTGCCTGTTTCATCAATGAGGTCCTTTACCAGCATGTGACTGTGAAGAACCTCATTTAGAATCTGTGGTTTTCTCCCCTGCACCCCTGTAATCCAATTAAAGCCGTGCACTTTTAAGGAGGCTCCATTCTTCACTTCTACCTTAAGTCCTTCTTGCAACATGTTCCTAATATGCCACCAACATCTCCACTGCCAAGAAGAGGTTTGTGTTAGAGGAGCTGCAAATATTTAAGAAGATGGGTAATACCTACTCCTAATCACTTGGCTCATTAGTAAGTCTGGCTGTGTGACCACTCTCCATAGTTTCTTGATCGGCTAACATCTTTAAACCCCATAACTCCTCTGTCCTTTGGTGTTGTCACCAACTGCCATCTTCTCCAATGAATACATTTTGATCTGTCTTCCTCTCTACTCCACCAAAACTTGCCAAATAAGCTTGAGATTGCTTTGCATGTTCCCACAGGAAATCTGAAACAAGTCATCACATAAATGGGAAGAGCATTGAGCACTGCATTTACTAGTACCTCTCTCCAGCAGAAGAAAGGTAAGTGTTCTTCTAGTTGGCAATCCTTTTCCTCACTGTATCTACTGCATAGTTAAACATTCTCTCTTGGACTTCCCTATGCGCAAGGGCAGTCCCAAATACCTTGTGGAGTTTTGCACTTAGATGCCATTTATTACCTCACAAACACCTTGTTGCTGCTCTTGAGAAGTGTTCCTGCTAAAAAATATTGATGACTTCGCCAGGTTGACCTGTTGTCCTGAGAATTGCTTGTATTTGTGAAGCATTTCCATAAGCACCCTTGCATTATGTGTATCTGCCTTACAGAAGATCAAGGTATCATCTGCAAACAATAGATGAGAAAGCACAAACCCATTTTTTGCAATACAAACTCATCTGAATTGGCCTCTATCCACATGGTTATTAATTAAGGCTGACAATAATTTAGATACAAGGATGAACAAATATGGAGACAATGGATCACCTTGTCTCATGCCTCTTGTTGCCTTAAAATACCCACATTCTTCACCATTGACCAACACAGAGAAAGAAGCTATAGACACACAAGTCATTATCCACTGCACAAACTTAAGACCAAACCCCATTCTCAACATACTAGTGCGGTACCTGTGCATCACACTGGCTAGTTTTATTAAGGTAAGCATTTAGATTTGGATGAATGGAATAACGTAAAACGCATGTATTGGAATAAAACAAAATGTAACTTATATATTATTAAACACATCCTTGTACACATCATTATTTGTTTGGTCTTTTGGTACATCATCTATTGCCACAAATTATATTAGGATTTTAGATAGGCTTACATAAATCAATTAAATTATTTAGCAAGATATATATGATATGATTTATGAAGATTGCATAGCCAAATATAACGGAGATTGTAAAACGTCTTTCTTGATAATCTATAGAATTATTATTTTAAAATTATAAATTACTTAAGTTAAGAAAGGGAAAAATTGTGTAATTATATGCAATCAATTTTAAATTTGTATTCTAGAGGATTAAACAAAATCCAATTTCTTAGGATGTTCCAATCCGAATTCATTTTGAATTTCAAATTTATATTCTCTGACTTTGTTTTATGTTAAAAAAAAAATCCTAACTAAAGAAGGTAGTAACCAAATGATAAGAGATTTTTAAATTTTAATTTTTAATTTCAAATTGGGCCAGATTTCTATGCAATCTGATTTTTATTTTTGGATAAACATGATATGTTGCAATTAGGTAAAGATACATGTTATAGTATTTTGCCTAATTTGAACTTCCCGATTTTATGGTAAACATATTTTTTTTAATAAAAAATGAGAGAATTTTGACTTTTATAATATTGTCATGCCAAATTTTACCTAAATTAGCCGATAGCTATGCAATCCGATTTTTTTTTTTAATAAACAATTGGTCTGTTGCAATTAGGAAAAGATATATGTGATAGTATTATACCTAATTCGAAATTCCCAATTTTATGGTAATCAATTTTTGTAATAAAAAATTAGAAAGAATTTTGACTTTTGCAAAATTGTAAGCATGAGTCGAAATTACCTAAATTAAATCCATAAAATCCATGAATTTAGGGTGCATATATAGCTGATCGATATTTTGAGAATAATTTAAAAAGAAAATTGAAAAACTGTCAAAAATAGAATTCAATAAATGTTGATTGACTTTTTTTATTACTATATTTAGTAAATAAGTTCTCTCTTTATATATATATATATATATATACATATACATATTATTTGAGAATATAATTTCGCAGCCATGAATTTATGCTTTCCTGATCTATGTCTATTCAAAAACTGAAAGACCTCTTGTGCTATCACAACATTATCACTCAGAAGTATCCCTGGAATGAAAGCTGCTTGAGTTTGGCCAATACAATGATGCAGGCAAGTTTTCAATCTCATAGTTAGAATTTTGAAAATCGTCTTATACACCACCCCACACAAACTAATTGGCTTATGGTTATTGGATTTTTACATTTTGGAATGAGGGTAATTAAAGTATGGCTCTAGTATTTTAATAATCTACTCGAGGTAAAGAAACTCTCAATGGTCTCACACAAATCCAGTTTAATCAAAGGACCGAAATGCTGACAAAATAAAGCAGACATACCATCAGCTCCCGGAGCTTTCTTTGGACTTAAGCTGAAAAGAGCATATTTGATCTCCTCTTCCTTAATAGGTGCTTGCAGCTCTTCATTCATCTGAGGGGTGATTGAGGGATGAATATTATGAAGTAGCTCCTGTCCTTCGGTTGACCCTTCTGTGGTGAAAAGCCTTTCATAAAAGGCAGAGATGTGTTCTTCCAATTCCTCCTTTGTTTCACAGATACTGTTCTGCTTTGTTACCAGCCTACTGATGGCATTTTGCTTTCTTCTTTGCAAGACACAAGCATGAAAAAATTGTGTGTTCTGGTCGCCCTCTTTAAGCCAATGTAGTCAAGCTTTTTGTTGCCAAAATAACTCCTCTGAACAGTAGGATTGCTCTAGCTCCCTCTTAATCTGATCCCACTCTTCCCAGTTTCTGTCACCTGCTGCAGCTCTCATTTCTTCAAGCTTCAAAGTCAATCTCTAGACCTTGCTATCCCTCTCAGATTTGAAATGTTTACCCACAACCAACCCTCTTTCTCCCTTCATTTGTGGCCATTTTTGTTCCTCCAAATCATTAACTCTTCCAAGCCCAGCCGTAACCACACCCTCTTTCTAAATCTCCCTAAAACCCTCAACTGATTTTTTTTTTATTATTATAAAAAACTCAAGAAAACAAAAAAAGAACTAAAAGTCCAGATTTTATATGGACATGAGAAAACAAAATATTGAATATAAACTAATCTAGTCATTCCTTCTTTTTTTCTTTTTTTTTTTGGATAATATACAAAAGATATAGTCATTATACACAGAAGACATACAAAAGATATACAGAAGATAAACCAATCTAAAACACACTATATACATTAAAGAGTTGTCGGGTTTGTCCACAACACGAGATCCAAGCGCTGATTTCTTTGTTGTGGCGACCTTCTTAACATCCAAATCCTCTTTGGCCGGCCCACCTCTCGCCATTGCTATACTGCCTGATTTTGTCAAAGACAAAAGGCTTCCCCTTGGAGATAAACGCCTCCTTCAATTTCTTATCGATCGGCCCGTTGTCTTTGATTGTGATTCGGATCTCATGATCCTCACATGCGTTCTTATTGGTGTTATAAATATTTAATTTGGACAACATATATAAATTAAATGTGTATAGTTGTCATAATATAATTCAATTAAAGTGATATACTATATTTGTTATTTTGAATAAAAAGAGTGTCAAATTATTGTGGATTTAAAAATGTAGATACCATTATGAGATTTTTGGTTTGTTGAGGGACCGAACTAAAAATTAAAATTATTTACTTACCTGGTAGTGGCCCCAAACGACGTAAATAAAACTGGCAGATTTTGAACAGGTGCCTTTTCCCTTAAAAGGCACCATACTGCAGTATAAAAATATATATACGGATACAAACATACAGACATGTATGTTAAAATACACACAATATCAGTACACAAATATATCTGCAATATATATCAGCCGTAAGGAACGATTGTTTGGAAGTTCTCATCAGTCTAGTACACAATAACACAAAGCAGTCCAGTCTAGGGGAAGAGAAGAATTCTCAAAATAATTAGGTACGCTTCCGCTCTTTTGTTTGTTTGATTCTCAATGATTGAATATGAATGATTTTGGGATTAAATTAAATCAACAATCGGATTATAGGAGACCTCAATGGAGCCCTCAGTTGACAAAACCATTGAGTTCTAGTCGGAATCCTTGGCTACTCGAGGAAATCGGTCTCGGCCCAGTGCCAATAGTGCACGTGGCGCCATCGGGGCGGTCTTCCACAATCCACCGCTTGTCGCCTTTGCCTAATTTCGCCATTGGTGATGTGAGATTGCGTCATCTAGTAACTGATCTACGGTGCGTGCGATGGTGGAGGCGGAGAGGAATTAAACGAGGATGGAGAAAGGTCTAGGCAGGCCATATTTTTTTTTCATTCTAATTTTGGGGAGTATTTTAATTACGATATTGCTATAAGTACAAATAAAAATTAAGGTATTAGCATAACTTAAATGAAAAATAAGATTAATATATGTGTAAATAAAAATAATCTTGGTGATGGGGTAGTTTTCTCTTAAAAAAATGATCCCGTATTTCAAATCCTTTCGTCGATCAAAGTGCACATCTGATGGGCCGTAGTTCGTCAGGCCTGTGGACCATTCTCGGCCCGTTTCTGTATATTCTCTACCCCTTGCTGAAGTTTGTCAGATTTTACTCGCTTGGAATCGACTCTCGGTTTGAAAATTCTCCTCTCTCTCGACCCAATCACCGACCCCCATTGTGCCCCTCGAGTTGATCGGAGATGGCGACGCCCATGGTTGAAGACAACTTCGAGGACGACCACCTTTCTTCTATGACAACTGACGACATCACTCGCGCTTCTCGCCTTCTCGATAACGAAATCCGAATCCTCAAGGTTAATACATCTCCATGTTGCTAAAAGTGAAACAGATTTCCGAGGCTATGAAATCGATTACTGGTGAGTTCTGGCGAAATTTTTATTGGTAGTGGTAATTTTGTTCTTTTCCTCCCTTTCGACAGGAAGAGTTGCAGAGAACGAATCTGGAGCTGGATTCATTCCGGGAAAAGATAAAAGAAAATCAGGAAAAAATCAAGCTGAACAAGCAGCTTCCTTACTTGGTCGGGAACATTGTTGAGGTACTTATTTATCATATGTGTTGGACTTTGCTAAATTTCTTACCTTTTTTAATATTTTTAAGTTAATTATGTTATTTTTGCTTATCTTTTAGGCTTCTGGCAGTACGACTTTAGGGTTTTGTTTGTGAATGTTTGTTTGGAGGGAAAAGACTGTATCTTGACATGACCATTGTTTTGATAGTGGCCTGGAAGTGATGGTTTTCCCAATTTCTGCCTAGTGACATTGGCCTGACCATGTAGTTTGTTCATTTTGAAACCCTTGTTTTGAGATGCTTAGGGGGACCATCAATGTTTTCGTAGAAAAGGACTCTGCTACTGAAATCAATTGTATAAAATGTCAATGTGGTAATTCCAATTTCTTGAAACTAGTTGCCCACTTTATCCTGGGAGAGAGGTAGTTTTACTGTAATTTATGGGATATTAATCATCTTAAGAGTCATGCAAGGTTAGTTATTGAAGATCCTTGATATTGGTTGGTATGAAGTATATGTGGATCTGCAGGTGTTTCTGGATTGTGTTTACATTCAGGAATTTGATCTTTTATGATCCTCTACAGTGTTTATCTATCCATAGGTGGTAGTTGTTATTTGGGAGCATTAATGCATTATTGTGTTTCACAGCGGAGCTGCGTAATTTAATGAGCAAATTATCAGTAACAGACTTTGCCTTGGTTGTGTAGTTATCTTTGTGTCACTTGACTTAATGCTCCTGTTCTGCTATTTTGTCTTAACATAGCTATATAGTTTCATGTTCTATTTGCTTGATAATTTTCTCTTCCCCCTTCTCTCTTAAGAGAAAAAAACATAGCTATATAGTTCCATGTTCTATTTGCTTGATAATTTTCTCTTCCCCCTTCTCTCTTAAGAGAAAAAAAAAAAACTTTTAGCCACTTTCCAGGTTTCTTGAACTAGTAAGTAATGCTCCTCAGTGAAAAGGGGGACAAAAAGATTGATTACAATGAGTACTGATAGTTATCTGATTTTTTGAGGCTCGATGTTTCTTAAAGGCCGTGTCATAAAGCCTAGTGAGGGCATTATGTGCAAATTTGATAACCATTTTATCAGCAGTTTGTTTGGTGTATGTTGATGTGTTATTGTCAGAATAATGAGACAATCACTCTTTTTTATTCACAGATATTGGAAATGAACCCTGAGGAAGAAGCCGAAGAAGATGGGGCGAACATTGATCTTGACTCACAAAGGAAGGGGAAATGTGTTGTTCTAAAGACATCTACACGCCAAGTAAATAGAATACCGGCTTGCATTTTCTCCGTCTTCTTTATTCTCCTTCTCCTGTTTGAGAATATGTGTAATTTGTTGTTAGGTTATTTTTAGTTGCTTGATAGATAACTGATCTGAGTTTTGTTGTCGCTCACATGGTGGTAGAATAGAGATATATTTCAACACAATCGTAATCTCGCTATCTTATTGTTACGTATCAAGTAAGAAAGTATATCTTAATTTACTTTAATAATTAATTGGGATTTAGGCAGGTGGGGTTAGAAAACCTATTGATGGTAGGATCCGATCAACGGTTAAATGAAGAGTAGGATAGTGATTTAAAAGGCAAGGAAAGTAAGATTTTATGGGCATAGGAACAGGAAAATAATAAAGTATTGCCACTTGTCAGTTGATGATTGCCGATGGGACATGATATCCTAGTCAGCCACCCTAGAGCATCTAGACCTATAGGGCGCATTAAATGCCCCACATGCGTGCATTAAATGCTTGGCAGGTAATCATTGGGAAAAGCTGAGACTACATTTAATGACTGTCAGAGCGGCGCCGACCTGTCACACTGTGCGACGGGACAAGTGTGTGAACAATACGAGATGAAGGTTACTATAAATAGAGTTTCACCCCCATTTATTAAGGGTTGTGAACATTCCACCAACCATTTTCTCTCTCTATATTTATTTCTCCCAATCTGTAATAATTTCCTGTGAATATCCGAAGTGTAACAAAAGTGCCGACCTCAATATCAGAGGCCGACCTCGTAATTAAGTAATAAAATCCGCTTATTCCGTAAATCGTACTTTCCTTGCTTTTTAAATCACAATCCTACTCTTCATTTAACCATTGATCGGATCCTACCATCAACAAAACCCATTAGAGTAACATTAAGGATTGATTCTCTATTCAAGTAGACATGGGGTAATGCAGTCTTTTCTGACAATTAATTGGGTTTTGGAACCATTGGGTTAGAACACCCATTAGAGTTACATTTAGTGTTCAGTCTCTATTTAAGTAAACATTGAGCTATCAGTTAGGCTTATGTTTTGGGGAATAGAGATTGTTGGTTTTAGGCTTGGGCGGGAAGTTTCTTTCCGATTAAGCATTTGTGCATGGGAAGGGCTTCACCTGTTAAAGTTGTTTTTTTTTTTCAATTTAATTAAATGTATTTCTGTTTTATTTGAAAGAATTGTCATTTGTCAAGCATCAAGTTGAGTAAAAGACCCCTGCTTTGGATTTCCGTTCTATATGCAATGAATGATTTTTTCTGACATCATATTCTTATATAATCTATGAATTTCAGACAATTTTCCTACCTGTAGTGGGCTTGGTTGATCCTGATAAGTTGAAGCCTGGTGATCTTGTTGGAGTAAACAAAGACAGCTATCTCATCTTGGATACTTTACCTTCCGAATATGATTCTCGTGTTAAAGCTATGGAGGTAGATGAGAAACCAACTGAAGATTATAATGATATTGGAGGCTTGGAAAAACAGGCAAGTAATTTACCAATTTAACAATAAATTCTGCTTCTTGTTCCATCGCTGATGCACTAGTCTTCTGCTGGAACATTCAGATTCAAGAATTAGTTGAGGCCATAGTGTTGCCTATGACGCACAAAGATAGATTTCAAAAACTAGGAATCCGTCCTCCAAAAGGAGTTCTTTTATATGGCCCTCCTGGGACAGGGAAAACATTAATGGCTCGTGCATGTGCTGCCCAAACCAATGCTACTTTTTTGAAGCTAGCAGGTCCCCAGCTTGTACAGGTATATTTCCTCTTTTCATGCATTATCAGGCTTGCTTGCTTTAGCTTGGTTTCTTGATCCTAAAGTCTCCATGCTAGAAGTTAAGATATGTTAGTTATTGGCACATTGTTGCTGATAAATGGACTGGGCAGAACTCATCCCCAAAAGCTAGCTCAAAGGGAGAGGGTTCCCAACCCCCACTTATACACAATAACAGCTCAATAACTAATCGATGTGAGACAAACATAACTTCTAACACCCGCCCTAACGTGTAGCATTCCAAAACCAAATGGGTTGGGTCCGCAACTCAACATCGCCTCCAAACAAACAAAACTAGGGTGCTCTGGTACTATGATAAATGGGCCTAGGTAGAATTCATCCTCAAAAACTAGCTCAAAAGAGGGGACGTTGCCCAACTAACATTATACACATTAACAGCCCAGTAACTATGCGGGATAAACATAACTTCTAACAGTTGCAAGTGTTAGAAAATGATTTGTTTTACTATACCACTCTGACGGGCACTAGATTGTAAATGTTCTACTAACTGTGTAATGTATTTGAATGGAGTGCTTATTTTCAAACTCAATCACTAATCTGTAATCATTAGATTAAGTAGGCTATGTTGAATAGTTTCCCATTCCGTAAGAGCTTTTGCAACATCCTCGTGATTCACTTTGTGGCAGGGGTGGGATCTCGTCGTTCTTTATTGAGTTTGGTATTAAGTATTGAAAATGCACTTTGTGGCAGGGGTGGGATCTCATTGTTCTTTATTGAGTTTGGCTTTTCTTAGGACGTCACCTATTTGGAAGTTCTTCCAATGGGGCTCATACTTCTTGGCAGCTTTTATAGTATTTTCTGCTTCAAGTTATTCCCATTTTTGTAGTTGCATATGCAATGATTTTTAAGCTCTACACACTTGGTGCCCATGCCATGGTGACAGCTGGTATTGCCTGATAGGCTTAACTACTGTCATGGTGAGTTAAAATGATTTTTAAGATTAGTTGTGAATATAATAAGTGGACATGTATGATGGCTCGGGGAGGAGCATATTTATTTGTTTAGTTATACTTAATCGTGTGTAAACCACTCATATGTTGATTGTTGTGGTTGTTCAAGTTGCGGCACTGCTGCTTGTTTGTCTTAATTATCTTTAATTTCTGTGCATGCTATTATAAAAACTCTTGCACTTGCTAGATGTTCATTGGAGATGGAGCTAAACTTGTTCGGGATGCTTTTCAACTCGCCAAAGAAAAATCTCCTTGCATCATTTTCATTGATGAAATTGATGCTATTGGCACAAAACGTTTTGATAGGTAGGTCCTTAAAGAAAGATTCTTGGCATGCTGGATTAGTAATTAACAAGTTTGTGTATTGAGGGGCTCTGGCGCTGATATTGTGCTGATGACTGAACGTATGATTCTTTCTATGCAGTGAAGTTAGTGGGGATCGAGAAGTGCAAAGAACTATGTTAGAATTGCTCAATCAGCTTGACGGGTTTAGCAGCGACGAAAGGATAAAGGTCTCTCTATTTCATTTCATGTCAATTTTTTATGTTTTCTGTATTTATTTTAATTTCCTTTCATAATCATTGATTAATGTTATGGTCTGCAGCATTTAGATTGAATTTTTTGTATTTTCAGGTGATAGCAGCTACCAACCGAGCAGACATCTTGGATCCTGCTCTTATGCGTTCTGGTCGGTTGGATCGAAAGATTGAATTTCCCCATCCCACTGAAGAAGCCAGGGCCCGCATTTTGCAGGTATTCCTCTTATTGATAATTCATTCACTCACGTTTTTTTTTTTTTCAGGATACCTTATATGACTGTGCTCTATATTTATACTTTTGCTTCTGATAAATTGATTCCTCTTATTATGGCAGATCCACTCAAGGAAGATGAACGTTCATCCGGATGTCAACTTTGAGGAGCTTGCTCGCTCGACTGACGACTTCAATGGGGCCCAACTGAAAGCTGTTTGTGTGGAGGCTGGCATGCTTGCACTTAGGCGTGATGCTACTGAGGTTTGTGCTTCTCTGTGCAGTCTCTGCTTAATTTTGAATGGAGCAT